TTTTTTTTTTTTTTTTTTTTTGGTACCGGGGATCGAACTCGGGTCCTTGCGCTTGCGAGGCAGGCCGTGGAACCACAGAACTAAATCCCCGGCCCCAACCCACATTTTAAATTTTCACCTTTTGTCCTCAAAATAAAATGATACAGTGAAACGTCCATCCATTACAACAAAACCCCAACTTAGACAAAGCTAAGTGCCCTTGCTTTTTAATTCCAAATCTAGAAAAAGGCGCTTCCAAGGGCGGAAGACTGTGAACCTGTCAATTCCACTAAGTGAAGCGTCTTCCACCACACTGTCCCATATTGATGAATGCATTTCTTCATCTCCAACCTACGAGACCGTGCCCGATTTTCAGAGAGTGCAGATCACTGGGGACTATGCCTCTGGGGTAAGTTGTCCTTGTCACCCACACATAGCTGCGGGGAAGCCACTCAGCTTGGCACAGCTGGCTTCTTCCTTCCCTTCTCCCCTCACCTGACCTTGTTATATTTCACCGTTGCCTTTTGATACTAGTACAGTGTGTCATATTTCTGTGTCACTTTTATCATCCCACACCATCTCTCCTCTTTCTCCTTGTCTCCCCCGCCATGGAGAACACATAGTAGACCGCAATGTGTGTTCCCCAGGACGCGCTGTACAGATTTGAGCAACAGGGCTACAGAGAGGAGCAAAGAGAGATGTCCATTCTCATTGGTGGTGTCGTGAAACAGGAAAGGGAGGCACAGGGGCTGTCGGGAAAAGATGGACCCAAGGGAGACCTAGAATAGAGAGCAGAGCAGCAGCATAAGTCAAAGATATGAGATCAGCAGAAAGAAGAGAACGAAACAAGATGAGAGAGAGGTAGGAAAATTCTAATAGGCTGTTGTTATTTCATCAACTGGCCTCTCCAATTTCATTGCAGATGCTTATGCAGTATATCGTGGTTGGAACAGACTCCAGGAGATCACAGGGGTAGTAAACTCATGTTACTAAGAACTTGACCAGCTTGTCCTGTGCAGAACAGATGGGCAATTAATCAATCTCTGTCATGCATACTTGCAGTATCAGCATAATATTGGTGAAACTGTTCTTTAGTCATCAGTCTCTACTCCAAACATAGATTTAATGACTAGTCCTGAACCCTGTTCTCATGTAACTGACCTGGTCAGAGTAAGTCCTAGGATATTTTTAAGTGCCAGAGCAATGAAGCGCAAACTGTTTTTGTTTATTCTTTCTTTCTTTCTTTTTTGTATAATAACATGGGTGCTCTGAAAATGGGAAGTTTTTTTTAAAATGGCCATTTTATTTATTTTATTTTCAGACAGGGTCTCACTATGTAGTTCAGACTGCCCTGGAACTCACTATGTAGCCCAGGCTGGTCTTGAACTGGAAACTAACCTCCTGCCTCAGCCTCCTGAGTGCTGGGATTACAGGCGTGTGCCACCACACCTGGCTAAATGGCTATTTTAGATACTAAATAATTTAAAGGAAAATTTTAATAGTAGTAAACACTTGGGAAACAGTTTGTAGAACTCCAGCGTTCCAAAGACTATAAAAATTAGCAGACAGGTCCGGGGATTTATCTCAGTGGTTCTACCACCTGCTTTGCAAGAGCAAGGTCCTGAGTTCAATCCTTAGGGAGCAAACTAGATATCTCTGTACTTAGAAATGAAAATAGGGACAAGTGTCTCTTCCTAGTAGCCTATCTTAAGCTATAAGGTGGATTTTTTGTTTTTTTGTTTTGTTTTTGTTTTTTGAGACAGGGTTTCACTTTGTAGTTCAGGCTGGCCCTGAACTTGCTATGTAGCCCAAAGGCTGGCCTCAAACTCATGGCAATCTTCCTGTCTCTGCCTCCTGACTGTTGGGATTACAGGCATGCACCACCACACCCAGCCGTAAGGTGTGTGTGTGTGTGTGTGTGTGTGTGTGTGTGTGTGTGTGTATATATATATAT